AGATAGATAGATAGATAGATAGATAGATAGATAGATAGATAGATAGATAGATAGATGGATGGATGGATGGATGGAGAGAAAGAATATAGACAGAGAAATAGATAGACAATGATAGATAGATATTGTAGATAGACAGAAGATAGAGATAGAGAAACAGATGATAGCTTATAAACTTATATACCACTTCACAGTGCTTTACAGCCCTTTCTAAGCGGTTTACAGAGTCAGCATATTGCCCCCAACAATCTAGGTCCTCATTTTACCCACCTCGGAAGGATGAAAGGCTGAGTCAACCTTGAGCCTGGGGAGATTAGAACTGCCAAATTACAGGCAGCTGGCAGTCAGAAGAAATAGCCTGCAGTACCGCACCCTAACCACTGCACCCCTGAAGCGCACAACCACAATGATTCACTTAATTTTCATAACTAAGCAAGGTAAGTTGTTAATGGAGTCCCACCCGATTTTACTGTCTTTTTCACCACAGTGATTTACTATGGAAAAGTAAAGTTGGATGTGACTCCATTAGCAACTTACCTTGCTTAACTATGAAAAGTATGGTCCCAATTTTGGTTGTAAGTCGAGGACTAGCTGTAAAACATAATGCACAAAAGCCCATTGTATGGATTTTTCTTTCGGCATATGCCGGTAAGAAGGAAGAGCAGGCTGCAAATAAAACTACTATATCTCAGGGATGTGCATAATGTGCCAGGCCCACGCAGTACCATTGAACATGCACTGCACTAGGGCATGGCTCTTTTTTGTTCTACCAATTGTTAGGTGCATCTGTGAACCAGGATTTATGACAACTCGCTTAGTGCTGGATAGACGCAGGGCCAGGGCTTCAGATTAAAATGCCTGAAGAAAGGGCCAGTGCTTCAGATTAAAATGCCAGGGATCAAGCATTCCTCTATTGGAAGAAATATCCATCTGGTTCAGTTCCAAGCCGGGAGGAAGACACTGGAAACATGGAGGCTGATTGGAAAGATGGCTTGATGATGAAGCAGAAGAACACGGATGGTCCGGGGCAACTGACCACATAGAGTTGAGAGTGGGCTTTTTCAATACTTTATCTTGGGCTTTGAACTTGAGCTTCCTGTTCCTGTGCAAGAACATGTATTCTATTAGATGCTGTCTGACTCCCATGGGGTCATTGGTGGTTTTCACTTACCTTCCCTATTCACCTACCTTCCCAGTTCGCAAATTATGTGTGCGTGTGTGCTCACTTTGCTCGCATACGCCCTGTCCGCGTATGCGCCCGGCCTTCTGCGCATGCACTTTGCTAAAAGTAACATCCGTAAATAGGACAAAATAGAACCAGGGCAGGTGGGTGGGGCCACCTGCAATATCCGCTACCAGTTAGAGTGAACCGGTTTGAGCCGGCTGAATACCACCTCTGCATTGGGCCTATGCAGGGGTTATACCTAATGTTGTCTGAGCTCCCAGGTTTGGTTGAAGCTTGGCTGGTGGCAAGGTCATTTCTCAAAATATTTCATTCTTCTAGGAGAGGGGTAGATGCTAACTTTCTACAAATGTTTCTTGCCAGAGACCCATTGTTTAGGTGGAGTAGCCCCACGTTATACTGCTAGATAATATAGTAAATGTGTCTCTCTAGATATGCAGAACATGCTTCTCTTTCTATTACCTAACATTACGTGTGGCACTGTTCACCACAAACTTGAGCCCCCTTTTCTCTCTCCTGAAATCAGTATTCCATGTTCCTGACAATTTCCCATACTGTCCAGCAGGCAACTGTTTTCAAAATGAAAATTGAACCTGCTAAGAGATAAAATTGTTTAGCTTTACCCCAAGAAATCCCTCTTAAACGTGTCCTCCTTCCTTTCAGCAATTTTTAAAGGGAAAACTCCAGAGTTTTTTGTTTGCTTGTTTCTATGTTCAAAATCAGAACATGGAACATAAAATAATAGAGTTGTAAAGGACTTTAGGGGCAGTGGTGGGATTCAATTTTTTTTACTACCGGTTCTGTGGGCGTGGCTTGGTGGGTGTGGCAGNGATTGTGCTGAGGCCAAGAGTTGCAGAAGCCATGCTTCCTTTGGAGAGAAGCCACGTACCATTGTAATACTCACGGCATCTTCATACTCTTTAGTAATCAGACTAACCACAGCAGAAGCCAGGAGCAAAAGGATCAGAGGGTTCTTAAACTACAATGAGAGAAGAAAGAGTTGGTGATGAAAGTCATTCTTGTTTTCTTTGCTTTAACCGTGTATTGTGAGACAGGCTCAAATCATCCTACTTTTGATGAGTTACGTGAAGAACAATCTCTCTGGAGAATGCTATAATGCTGGGAAAGGTCGAAGGAAAGAGGAGAAGAAGACAACCCCCAGAAAGGTAGAGGGATTCAGTTCCAGGGGTTATTGGTGCATCATTGGAAGAGCTGAAGGAGCAGTTTAGGGGCAGGTCATCACAGAGAATATCGATCTATCTATATGGTCACCAGGAGTTAAAAAAAAGGCTTGATGGTCCCTCATCAATTGATCAATAGTAAGATTAAATATTGCTACACTTCACACCCAAAATTAATACAATACAGTGCAATAGCAGAGTTGGAAGGGACTTTGGAGGTCTTCTAGTCCAGTGGTCTCCAACCTTGGCAACTTTAAGACTTGTGGACTTCAACTCCCAGAGTTCCTCAGCCAGCTTTGCTCTGGGAGTTGAAGTCCACAAGTCTTAAAGTTGCCAAGGTTGGAGACCACTGTTCTAGTCCAACCCCTTGCCTAGGCAGTAAACCCTGTACCATTTCAGACAATTCATTGCAAAAGATCCAGATCTCTGCACCAACTCCAGAAGTTGTACAGCCACCTTAACCACAGATGACCCTTGAGCTTCTGGACACATTAAAAGTACACTTTTCTCTCTATCTCTTAACTTATTGGCCCATCGCTACAATCCCGTCTCAGCCTCAGAAGGAATATTGTGTCTACACCACTTTGCCACCACAAGTCACACGTTTCTCTGCTGCTAAAATGCGCTACCTGGTCAAGGTATTTCTTCCACACCGGTTCAGTATTATCTGCCACAAGTTCATTCCAACCATGCTTGACTCTGCGGTGCAGCACTGAGAATTCTGAAAGTCCTCTCTCCAAGTCAACCTGGAAGAGACACCAACGAGCAAAGGACTAGGATCAAGACTTTTGGTCAAAACTGGCTTGGCGCAATGGAGCTAAACATCTCTGTCAACAGACTTCCTGGGAGGAGCTTACTGGTGG